CCTCCCTCCTCCTTGTCCTCCTCCTTGTCCTCCTCATTCCCTCCTCGTCAACCCCGCTTCCATCCCTCCTCACCCTCCACGCCTCACGACGATGCTCAACGACATCGCCCATGCGGCGCAATGGCGCGGACTCGAGCTGCACCCGAACAAGACCAGGGATCTGTGCAACCTCACACAACGCACTGGGAGGGCGAGCTCGCGCACCACGCGTCTCCTGGACGTGGACATCGAACTCCTTCGTACGACGGCAGCATTAAGCAGCTCGGCCAGATGATTAGTTTTCACATCTCAATGGGAACGGAGATCAACCACCGCACGAGAGCTGCGTGGGCCACATGTAGCTCGCACAAGTAAGACTCGACCAGCAAGCACTATTCGCTGGCCTCCCGTCTCCGGCTCCCCAACAGCACGGTAATCCAATCAGCGTTGGATGGCGCAGAGACGTGTACGCTCACGGAACCCCACCGTCAGCATCTAAAGCGGTTCAACGACGCATGTTCCGCATGATCATCAGAAAAACCAGACGACGTGCCACCCACCGACCGCTTCACGGCAGGCGAAACGCGACGACAGCCAACGACACGAACAACGAAACACCGAGCCACGACACCAGCACTGCCAGCGAAGATATCAACAGCAACCCACCGCAAGAAGAGACTACTGCAACTTCGGATCAGCACACCGAAGACGGTGACGAGAGTGAGACGAGGGACGACTTGGAACCATGGGTTGACTACATTAAACGGTTTATATGGATGCAGAACACCTCATGCAGCACCACCGTATCGATATGCTGGCTGACGACGCAGAAACGCATGTTCTGGCAAATGGCCACGAAGGTTGCTGACCACGACAGCACACGGAGGACCTGGAAGGCGCTGCATTGGCAACCCGACGCCAAGCCGAGACAGCGATGACAACGACACCACGCAGGCCAACCCAAAAAGTTGGACGAGGACCCGAACATTTTTCTTCGCAAGCGACGTCCCGACCTACACCCACCACCTGCAGCGGCCCGCGAAAAAGGACGACGACTTAAATTGGGTAACGACGGCTCAAGACCCCCTTGTCTGGTCATAATTCGAAGACGCTTACGCCCAAATCTGACAATCTCTCAGGACCACTCAACGACGAACAACCCGACGGCACACAACACGCGTCGCCTTTCACACACAGCACACGACGGGAAACGATGTGCTCTCCAACCACCGGTGCGTGTTCTCCCACATCGAGGACATCCCTCCCTCTCGTCCATTCTCCTTGCTCGTTCTCGCAGCTTTCGATGGGTGCTTCGCGCGGCACGGCATATAGACGATTCCCGAGGCCACGGCGTCCTTCACCTGTTCTCAGATGGGCCCGGACGGCTGCCGCACTGATGGTCGCTCGCTCGCTTGCCCTTCGTTCCTGCTGCTGCGAGGGGGGAAGGCGAGCGGTGGGGTGCGCGGCGGAGGAGCCGTCGAAGAACGGCTCGGGACGCAGAGCAGGTGGTCTCGGGGAAGGGGCCCAGACTAGCTGGGGTCCACTCTGTGAGAGCATCGCGGTGTCAGAGCTCTGGGAAGAAGAAGGAGGGCACTCAAGCACCCAGAGCCCGGGCAAGAACAAAGTCATAGACCAGCGTGCAGCGCTGGAGTGCGCAAGTGTGATGGCGACCGCAACGAAGCAACATCGTACAATCAATTCACGTCTACATACGTCTACATCACGTTCGCGTCGAAGTGCGATTCTGCTTAAAGTCACAAGGGTGCAGGTGGCGGAATCTGTCACACAGCCGGATTCCGCAGCCGTTATGGCCCGAGTCAGGGATCAGGCTCGTCAGGAGCTGTGTCCCAGTTGGACTCCTGACCAGTTTGATAGTGCCCTCCGTCTCCAGCCCGACAGGGGCAGGGGCGTTGAGAGGCTCGTGGCTTCTGATGTGCGCCGCCTGTCTACACCTGCTCGTCCGGCGCTCGTGGATCTGTTCAGTTATGTGGAAGGGCGATTGGTGTGGCCATGCCAGCTCATCCAGGCCATCATCATGCTGGAGCCCAAGAGATCGGGAGACATGGCGTAAGTTTGAGCCGACATTCAGCAGGGAACCTTGCTTTACAATTAAGAGTGGAAGTAGACGAAATTACTCGACGTGGGAATGAATTCAGGAAGTTAGCGCCACACATTCGTTTGGCATTCAACATAGTATTTAAGCATGGCAATAGAGCATCAATTTTGGAAGTCGTATTCAATTTTTTAGCTGTGCAACTCGCCAGAACATCAGGTGCGGTAGTTGAGCTTGGAACTTCGGTTTCCATTTGATGGAATGTAGCTTCGAACTGAAGCTTGGTAAGTGCTCCGCATTGCAGCTTGGAGTTTAGCATTCCCGCGCTTACTAGTGAAATGTCCAGATGGGAATTCGCCCCAAGCTTGAGCATGTAAATTCGTCCGCGAATTAACCTGGGGAGTTCGCCGGGCAGCGGTCCTGGGAATTGGCTGATAAACACATCCTATTTCTTTAGGAAATGCATCCCATCCCTGGGAAGCTGTTTTGAGCGCGCATTGTGGCGCCCGAAGACATGATATACTTCTGAGACCCATCTTATGCCCGCGGTGCGAAAGCTGCTGCTGCTTCTGGCGCTCAAACCAATGTCTCAGGACCTGGTTCAACACTCATCTGGGGCAGTCTTATCTGCCCCATGTTTCCCGCTCCTGCCGGGCGCCTCGCGAAGTCTGGCTTGAGACCGGCGCTAGAGGTGTGCATTTTTGAAAGCGTCGCTTCTGCTCGGACAAGCGGAGAGGGGGGGGGCAACGTTTGGTTTTTGACGCACTTGTTGGCGATCTCTGTACATGCCCTTACAGGAGTGAAACATGTGAAATCATTATTCAAACATCCTCGTAGCAAGGGTCCGCTAGAAAAGAGGGTCCGCGCGTTGGGGCTGCGGGCCCACTGCGTGCCCTGGAGGCTCCGCCAGTTGAGGGCTCGCGGACTGCCGCGTCGCGCGGACCTGTCCCCTCTGGCGGGCTCGCGGCATGCCCGCAATTGGGCTGGGGCGGTCGTCTGCCAGTTGCTGGAGTCCATCGCGAGGGTGGTGCCGCGGGCGATGGCTCGAGCCTGATTCGGCGACGCCAGCGCCCCATTGCGTGGTGGCCCGCAGGCCGTGGAGGAGAACGCCATAGAAGCTGCGCGTGAACTTGGCGAGCGGTTGGCGAAGGAGGGATTAGCCTCGCCGACGCGATTGGACCAGACCGAACGGATCGCGAATCTATAGGCCCAGGCCCAGGCTGGAGTTCGATTTGCACTGGTAGCGGGGGGCAGGAACTTGGGCGTCGACCGAGCGGCCGAAGGAGCAACCGTGCCTAGTGGGCGCGCTGCCCGCCGGGAAAAGGTAGCAGCTTCCGTGGCTCCCCTCGTCGAAATGTTGATGATGTCGCGACGTGAGAAGGCATTTCGTTTGCTGAGGTCGCGGAGCTACGCCATCATTGCACGGCGTCGTACGCCGTGGAGAGCCGCCCTCGGCAATCGTGCATGCAGGAAGGAGATGCGCGGCAGCGCTTGCTAAATCAGGACCGCGGAGATGCGCTGCCTCCTTTGTGTGTGCTGCTGGGTGAGATCCAGCGATGGAGATTCCTGAGGCGCAGCTCGGAGCTTGCTGTGACATGTATGTTAACGGGCCAACGGTCGACAGGACATGTGGGGTGTGTGCGCCAGATTGAGGATTGCGCCGGCGCAGCATTAGATCGGGACAGGGCCGACGGGTCACGGGCCCACTCAACTTCGGCCTGTGCGGGGCGAGCCGGGGCCTGAGATCGGCCGCCCGTAAGGCAGATCTCCGAGGCGAAGACTTGGAAACTGCAGAGGGCGCGGCTGGAAAGGACCCGTCCACCATTATCGAGGCCATCATAGACGACATCTGGATCCATTTGTGGAAGAGGGGGCAGGGGGCCATTGCAACTGCAAGCGTATAGAGTGGCACCGACGCCATCGACATTGTCAGACACCTGACACGCTCCAAGCGACCTCTTGCTTTCAGAGGTCAGCGCGTTGCTCGCGGCAGCGACGGCGGGCGCTCGGGCGCCAGCGAGGAAGCGCCGTATGTTCGGAGAGCAGGTGGGCCCAGGACTTTGCGCGCGTGGCCAGAGAGCAGACGGCCGCCGCGGAATCTGGGGGGCGCGCCCAAATAGATCGCCCCATCCAGCGTCCGAGGAGTCAGGGCACCTGATGGAGATGGCGAGTGCTGGAGCGGAGCGCGCGCCGTGCTTCTGGCCGTGGGCCCCCCCGCCCGCCGCGCGGGCGAGGCCGCCGCCGTGCTGGGCGTCGCGCGCCAGGGGGCGCTTCGAAGAGCTGGGCGAGGGCCCGGTTGAGGCTCTGCCAGGCCAGGTGCTGGGGGGCGTGCGGCGACGCCGTCGGGGGCGCGGAGTCAGGCGACGCCCGACGCCGGGGGTGCTGTGCAAAGGGGAAGACACTCTGGGCCAGCCAGCTGGGGCGCCGTGGGAGATGCGCGGCCCGAAGTTGGCGCCGCCGTGACCCGCGGAGGAGAGCGGACGGTTGAAGTCAAACGGTGAACATGTATGTCGTTTCGGGAAGCAGAAACCACGGGGGTTCTGTTTCGCGTCTGGTGTGGAGACGAGGCCGCGGGCGAGCTTTCAGCCGAAGGAACAACAGCACATCGTGATATGCGTGGTCTGTCGCCGCGCCCGACTTGGTCAGGAACCGCCGTATCACTCGTGCCATTTCACATGTCGTTGGCGCGGGAGAATTCTGAGCGCTCGACGAGACAGGTTAGAAGGGCGGAGGAATGATATCGCCCAGAGGCTCCCGCGATTGCACGAGCTAACTCTAATCGCGCCACCCCGTGCCTTCGGAAGATGAGATGGTGATGTTGGAGCTGCCGAAACTGTGTCGGCAAAGTCGCTTGTAGAAGAGTTTTGAAGGAACGGCTTTCGAATGGGTGCCCTGGCCCCCCCCCAGGCCCCGCCCGGCCCAGCTCGTGATTGGGGCGAGGCGAGGCCGCCCATCGCGTGGGCTTATTTTTGATGCTGCTTGCTAGGCCTGTGGGATGCGTGAGCGTCGGGCGCTGGATGGTAGAGGCCGCCCCCGAGGCCTCTCGGAAGAGTGTAAGTGTTGCAGCGGGGACCCCCCCCACCAAAGTGGGGGCTTGGGTTTGATTTGGAGTTTTGGCTGGGGGGTTACTCGAGTGAAGTTCTCCCCGAGCCCCAACGAGCCCCGAGTGAGTCGAATTTGGGGAAGTCCTCGTGGGAAGTTCTCGATCGGCCGAGGCCACTTCTCCCCCCCCCCGCTCCTCAAGGGCGTGAAGACCTCGCTCCAATCGATTTGCGGGGTTCAGGCCAGGTAAGTTGATGCAAGTCTGGGTAACTCTAATTGAATCCAGATAAGCCGGGGTATATCCAAAGATCTCCAGGGTAATGTGGGACAAAAGGTGAAAGTTCCAATTCAATTCGAGAAACAGCAGAAGTTGTTGAACCCTTCGCGACCCCGCCAGAACAGAGATGAGGAGGGACAAGGATGGGAGGCATGGGGGCACAGGGGAAGGGGGGGGTCCACCTTGCGGGATGAGCAAGGAAAGCCGCTGTGCGTTGCGGTTGCGGCGTGGCCTCGGGCCGCAAGTAAAACCCGATTGCCAGAGCTCCCCCTGCGTGACTTGGGTGGGGGCCCATTCGGGTGCCCCCAGGCTGGAGAGGGGACAGGGCATGAGGAGAAAAGGGAATGAAGACAAGGAGGAAGAGGTGGAGGAGGATGAGGAGGAGGAGGAGGAGGAGGAAGAGGAGGAAAAGGACAAGGAGGAGGAGGAGAAGCATGAGCAGGAGCAGGAGCAGGAGCAGGAGGAGGCGGAGGAGGAGGAGGAGGAGGAGGAGGAAGAGGAGGAGGAGGAAGAGGAGGAGGAGGAGGAGGAGGAGGAGGAGGAAGAAGTGGATGCGCTCACGTGCCCGGCGCAGGCCTCCTGCATCCCCAAAGAGTGCGGGGGCGACGCGTGGTGCTTCGTGAAGCGGGGCTGCGGCGGGATCCGAGGGCGCTGCCGCAAGATGGACGGCGTGGATCCGAGGACGGTGCGAGGAAGGAAGGGGGAGGATGACGAGGGGCGGAAGGGCAGGACAAGGAGGAGGGGGAGGAGGAGGAGGAGGAGCAGGAGGAGGAGGAGGAGGAGGTGGAGGAGGAGGAGGAGGAGGAGGAGGAGGAGGAGGAGGAGGAGGTGGAGGAGTTGGAGCAGGAAGAGGAGGACGAGGAGGAGGAGGAGGACGAGGAGGACTTCCAAAAAGAAGGGAGTTCCCGCGGGTTGGTCAGGCTGTTCCCACTCGAGGAGAGGCCCTAGCCAAGCCCAGACCGCCCCCTCTTTTGAGTTGTCTGGCTGGGGCGCTCCTCTTCAGTCCACGCGTTGTGAAAAGTGCACGACGGGCTTTCTTGCTTCCCTGTGGGCCCCAGGTCCCACGTGGATCTGCCCGGCAAAGTGGCCGTGTAAAAGTTCGGGTTCGAGCGCTCCTGTATTTATTTGTTTCACGACGCAGTGTTTTTTTCACGACGAGGGGGAGGTGGTTACTCTGCATTGTTCGACAAACGCTCTCTCCGTGCCACTCCGCCTGACGGCCCGTTCCAGCCTCCCCCACGCGCGCCGAAGCCACCTTCTCACGCGATCCAACCCTCTCACGCCCAGCGCCAGACAAGCTCATTCCACTCCCCCATGCGACCCCACCCACGCTTACTAAGCAACTCGGAGAACAATTTGGGACCAGGTCGTGCAGCCCGTAGGAACGCGCACTGCGAGGAACGCAAGCGATCTGCTTGTGGCTTGGCGTGCCCGAGTGCTCCTAAGCAATCCTGCGCACGGATCGGCGCGCGAGCCTTGGGCGCAGTGAATGGTTTCCACAGTCCACGTCTGCCGACGTCTGTCCAGTATCAAAGCAAGACGCATGGTTATTTACTTCTCCCCGACCCTCCTGGCCAAATTGAGTACCGTGAGGCCGCAATTGTGTTGATGTGGAGGACCATGTGATGCCATAGTTGTGGACGGGGAGGATCACGGGTATGCGGGGGACGAAGGAGGAGTAGGACGAGATCGTGGAGGAGAAGTCGAAGGATGATGAGGAGGAGGTGGAGGAGGAAGACGACGAATCGGAGCTGGAGGTGGAGGGGTTCAGTTTCGACCAGGCACTGCCCGCAGTTATTATCTTAGGGGGAGGAGGAGGAGGATGAGGAAGGATGAGGGAGAATGGCGGGGGGAGGAAGAGTGGGGCAATAGGAATGAGGAGGGAGGAGAGACAAAGGGTGAGGAAAAGGGCGGATGATGATGATGATGCTGCAGCTGCTGCTGCTGCTGCTGATGATGAGGATGATGGTGGTGGTGATGGCGATGATGATGATGCTGATGCTGATGCTGATGCTGCTGATGAGGATGCTGCTGATGATGCTGCTGATGAGATGGTGATGCAACTGATGATGATGATGCTGCTGATGATGATGATGCTGATGATGCTGATGATGCTGATGATGATGACGATGCTGCTGATGATGATGATGCTGATTCTGATGATGATGAAACTGATGATGGTAAGGATGATGCTGCTGATGACGATGCTGATGCTGATGCTGATGCTGCCGATGATGATGATGATGATGCTGATGCTGCTGCTGATGATGACGACGATGCTGATGATGATGATGCTGTTGATGATGATGCTGATGATGATGCTGCTGCTGATGCTGATGATGCTGATGCTGATGCCGCTGCTGCTGCTGATGATGATGATGATGTTTCTGATGATGATGCTGCTGCTGATGATGATGATGCTGATGCTGATGATGATGCAGTTGATGATGATGACCATGCTGATGATGATGAGATGATGCTGATGATGCTGATAATGATGATGATGATGATGATGATGATGATGATGATGACGACGCTGATGATGATGATGTGATGATGATGATGATGATGATGATGATGATGCTGACGACGACGACGATGATGATGATGATGATGATGATGATGCTGATGATGATGATGATGATGATGATGATGATGATGATGATGATGATGATGATGATGATGATGATGATGATGCTGCTGATGATGATGATGATGATGATGATGATGATGATGATGATGATGATGATGATGATGATGATGATGATGATGATGATGATGATGATGATGATGATGATGATGATGATGATGATGATGATGATGACGATGAGGATGATGATAAGGAGGAGGAGGAGGCGGAGGAGAAGGAGGAGGTGGAGGAGGAGGAGGAGGACCAGGAAGAGGAGGAGGCGGAGGAGGAGGAGGAGGCGGAGCAGGAGGAGGAGGAGGAGGAGAAGAAGGAGGACGAGGAGGGAGATGCGGACGGAGTATGATGATGTGGGGTGAGGGGGTAGGGCGGGAGGGATGAAGGGATGGAGTAGGGAGGAGGGGGAGGAGGAGCAACAGCAACAACGGGTTAGGGAAGATGGGGATGGGGAGCGGATGGCATGGGATTGAAGGGGTGAGCCGTGCGGGACGGGTCGGTGCTGCCTTGGGGGGAGCGGGGCTGAACGTGTGCGTGCGACGTGGCAATGCTCCCATACCCTTTTTTGCGCGCACATCGCCAGTAGTCAGTTCTTGTGTGTTGAGGCTCCGAGGGGTCAGCTTTTCCCAGCCCACACCCACGGCCGCCTTCGACGCCCTCTTGCTGCCTAGCAGGCCTGTGCTCTGGCTCTCACGCCTAGTAATTACGTGCTCTGAGCGTGCTCCGCCGCCCACGGCCTCCTCGCCCCCTTTCGCGCTCTTCCCGCTCCCGACATGTGCTAACTTCGGTGCCATAGTGACCTTCGGCCGCCTCCGACCGCGGCTTGGTGCCAAGCCGCTGCGACAAAACAACGGCTTGGTTGGTTCGGCCGAGTCCAGGAAGGAGCGAAGCTTTGGCCTGATACTGACAACAGGCTGCGTCGGCGTGTCTCGCCGTCCCGATACTTTGCCTTAGCTTGATCGGGGCGGCCCACCTCTCGCTCCCCTCGCGCAGCGCGCCGCGCCGCCCCGCTGCAGGTGCTTGGAGGCTTCGCGTCCTGCCCTCCCCCGGGTCGCCCCTCCTCGCTGCGCTCCTGCGCGCTCGCTCGTTCCATCTCTCCTTTCGCGCGGTTGGAAACGTTTGGATAGCGCGTCGCGCCGCCAGTTTTTGCTCACCACGCCTCGCAGCGACACGCTATCCACGTCCCCGTTCCCAAGCGTCAGTGTCCCAACCCTTCCCGAGCTTCCCGCCCCGCGGAGCGGAGCGACACGCGATCTGCTTGCACGGCACGGCGTGTCGCGGGGGCCGCCGCCGCGGCCGTATCTTTCGCTCGGTCCTCGTGCGCATGTTTTCTCTTTTGTCACTTGTGGAGGTGGCTGGATCTCCAGGTGGGCTTGCATCGCCATCCCACGCAGGGGTCGGAGCCAGGGGGCGCGAGCGGAGTCAGAAACCGGTAGCTGTTTTCTTTCCTGTTGGCGCCGCCAGGCGCGCGACTTCATCCGCGCTCGCGCCCTCCTCCGCCAGCGGCGGTGGCGTGGCCGCGGGACACCCGATGCCCAGACGGGCTCTCCCAGGCTTGCGCGCGGTGCTTCCGTTGTGGAGACTGCCGCCCGTGCCGCGCTCCGCTCGCCGAGGCGCCGCGGAGCGCACGGTCGCAGCGGCCCTGGCGGCGCTGGCGCTGCCCGCGTGGCCGGAGGGTTGGCCTGTGCCCCGGCTCGGGCTCTGGACTAGGGTCCGGGCTCGGGCTGGTCGGCCCGAGGGCTGGGTCGGCTCGAGCTCGGCTCCGCCTGGGCTCGGACTCGGGCCGGGGTCGGCTCGGGCTCGGGCTCGAGCTCGCGTCGGGAGCTCAGAGCTTGGGCTCGGACATGGGCTCGGACTTCGGCTCGGCCTGGGCTGGGAGCTCAGGCTTGGCTTCGGGCTCAGGCGAGGACGCGCGGCGCCAGACGTGCAGACTGGGCGGTCATGTTGGTTCGCGCGGCAGCACCGCCGCCTGGCTCCCGGCACTGCGGCTGCGCGCCCTCTCGGCTCCCGGCTCCGCTCTCGAGGAGTACGGCCGAGAAAGCTTTCTCAGCGTGTCGCTCCGCTGGTTCTGGCTCGCCATGCTGCGGCGCGACACGCTCACTCACCATCCACCAAACCACCCCAACCCAACCCGAAGGCTCCAATTTACCCTCCATGCCCATTAGGGGGAGGGGCGTCGGGGAACATTGAAGAAAGAATGTGAGACCCGTACCCCCCCCCAACCCGAAATTTGGGCCTTCGGGTTAGATTGGGGTGGTCTGGTAGGAGTCACTAACCACGTTCTGGTCCCAGGCGTCAACGTCTCGAGCTCTTCCCAGCCTCCCGCCCCAGGGAGCGGAGCGACGCGCCATCAGCTTGCAGGGCATGGCGTGAGCCCGGGGCCGACGCCGCGACACGCTGTGCAAAAGTTCCTGACCGTAAGGCTTGCTCGGAGGGACAGGTTGGAAACCCGTGCGATTTGGGGGGCTCGCTTCTCCAGGCCTCGATTCGGGCGAACTCTGCCACGCGCGCCCTCGGCTCCTCCGATCACTGTGCGCAGGGTGTTAGTCGCAGTTGCCTTTGCCGTACGTTGTACGAGCCCTTCAGCGGTATTTTGGGGCACCCGCAGTCGTCTACGCGGGCTTTAAGACGTGCCCCTCTTCCTTCTCTTGCTAAGCTCTCTCCTTTAACGGGGAAATGAGGAGGTGGGCGGGAGGTTCGGTTGGTCGCCCTCGAAAGCGCGATTCGAGCCCACAACTGCTGGACGAGTGCCACAAACCCATGATTGCGACAGTCGGGAGGGGTGGGGTGAGTGATGATGATGATGCTGATGATGCTGATGATGCTGAACATGATGATGATGATGCTGATGATGATGCTGATGATTCTGATGATGCTGATGATGCTGATGATGCTGATAATGCTGCTGATAATGCTGCTGATAATGCTGCTGCTGCTGATGATGATGATGATGACGACGACGATGAGAATGATGATGATGATGATGATGATGATGATGATGATTCTGATGATGATGATGATGCTGATGATGTTGATGATGATGATGATGATGATGATGACGATTATGATGATGCTGATGATGATGATGATGATGATGATGATGACGACGACGATGATGATGATGATGATGATGATGATGGTGGTGGTGGTGGTGATGATGATGATGATGATGATGATGATGATTATGAATTGACTTGCGCTGGCTAGAGGCTGTGCCTGGAGCTCTTCAGTGACTGCTGCTATGTTGAGAAGAGCTCCAGCAGTACGAGAGGTGGTGCCTCTGCTCAATGGGGAGAAAAACGCACACCAGGAGATATGGATCCCCTGTCTTCACGGATGCTGACGCAGAAAAGCTTCTGAATAGGAAACGTGTCCTATTTGTGTCGGCGGACCTTCGTTGGGCGCTGGTGTCCGGAAGGGTCCCGCGGGCCAATTCCACGCTTGCGTGCACCGGGGGCGAGCGAAGGGCTAGAGGGAGCGCCCAGGTGTCGCCGTGAAGGTTAGCGGCCTTCGGCGCGAAGCGGTCGCGAAAATCCGCGGCGGATAGCTCTTCCGCGCTACACTCGGGCAGCTCTCTTGCGAGCATCGCGGCGCGAGACGCTTTGGAGGAGAATTGTACGAAGTGCAAAGCCCTACAGTTAGGTGAATAACTTGGTTGTGAAAATTCTGACCAGGTGAGGCATGGGTTAGTTGTGGTTGGGGGCGTGGATCGCTCTACCTGTCGCCTGAAACGACGGCCGTCACATCCCCGCCAGGGCCGCGAGCGCTCACGAACCGCGCCCAACGAGGCGCTGGGACCAGCATCCCTCGTAAATATTGGGCGCTGGAGCCGACGCCGTGGGGCGCTGGAACCACCGCCCCTCCTAAAAACTGGGCGCTGGAACCCATTTGTCTTGAAGACATGATGCGCTGGAGCCATTATCCCTCGTACATATTGGGCGGTGGAACCGATGCCGTGGGGCGCTGGAACCACCGTCCCTCGTAAAAAGTGAGCGCTGGAGCCCATCTGTCTTGAAGACATGAGGCGCTGGAAGGGCGCTGGAACGTCACCCCGTTTTATGGTTATAACAATATATGTGGGGTGGGGGAGGGGTGGAGACGGGCCCGGGGGCGGGGGGGTCCTAGCAACGTAGTCGCACCTCGTTCCCAAACGGGGCCTGTTCGCACGCGCTGGTGCGCGTGCGATGTCTCGGTCGGTCGGTCTAGTCGTCGGTCGGTCGGTCCGGTCGTCGGTCCGTCGGTTGGTCGGTCGGTCGTCGTTCGTCGTCTTCTCGGTCGGTCGGTCGGTCGGTCGGTCCCGTCGTGGGTCGTCGGTGCGTCGTCGTCGGTCGTCGTCGTCTCGGTCGGTCGGTCGGTCGGTCCGTCCGTCTGGTCGTCGGTCGTTGGTCGGTCGGTCCGTCGGTTGTCGTTCGTCGTCTTCTCGGTCGGTCGGTCGGTCGGTTCGGTCGTCGGTCGTTGGTCGGTGGGTCGGTCCGTCGCTCGCCGTCGTCGGTCGTCGTCGTCTCGGTCAGTCCGTCCGTGGGTCGGTTATTCTCCGGTCGTCGGTCGGTCGGTCGGTCGGTCGGTCGGTCCGGTCGGTCGGTCGGTCATCGGTCGGTCGGTCGGTCGGTCGGTCGGTCGTCGTTCGTCGTCGTCGTCGTCGTCGTCGTCGTCGTCTCGGTCGGTCCAGTCGGTCGGTCGGTCAGTCGGTTGGTCGTCGTTTGTCGTCGTCGTCGTCTCAGTCGGTCGGTCGGTCGGTCGGTCCCGTCGTGGGTCGTCGGTGTGTCGGTCGGTCGCTGCTTCGCAGTCGCCGGACCCGACGCCATACCACTCCCTCAAGCCGCGCCTCTTGGGCCAAACAGGCTACGGATGCAATGATGATGAAGACACGACACATGCCCCCCTGATGCCTCCGATACGTGCATATGCGCTCTAAAGTTTCACCTGACTGTAGGGCGGGTGTGGTAGTCTACACCACAGGCGGGACACACTGGGCCAATGCATAAGCTACTCGCAGTAGTCATTTTTTTCTGCCGTGCTTGCGTGTCTGATGCGTGGCCAAGCCTTGCTGACTTTTGCGCTGCTTGCCACAAGCGGGACAGATGAGGAGAGGCTTGTCAGAGGCAGCCGGCTTGTCAGAAGCATATTGATGATACGGATGATGATGGTGATAACGATGATGGTGCTGCTGCTGATGATGATGAGGATGCTACTGATGATGATGACGATGACGATGATGATGATGCTGAACTTGATGATGATGGTGATGATGATGGTACTGATAACGATGCTGATGATGCCGTTGATGATGCTGCTGCTGCTGATGATGATGATGCTGATGTTGATTATGCTGCTGCTGATGATGATGGTGGTGATGGTGATGATGATGCTTCTGCTGATGATGATGATGAAGGTGCTGCTGCTGATGATGATGATGACGATGATTCTGATGGTACCGATGATGATGATGATGATGATGATGCTGATGATGATGATGATGATGATGATTATGATAGTGATGATGATGATGACGAAGAATAATAATAAGGTGATGATGACGACGATGATGATGCTGATGATGCTGACGATGGTGGTGGTGGTGGGGACGAGGACGAGGACGAATACATTGAGAGTGAGGATGAGGACGATGATGATAATGAAGATGATGAGGATGATAATGAGGAGGAGGAGGCGGAGGAGGAGGAGGGAGAGGAGGAGGAGGAGGAGGACGAGGAGGAGGAGTAGCAGGAGGAGGAGGAGGAGGAGGAGGAGGAGGAGGAGGATGGGGAGGACAAGGCAGAGAGGGGAGGTAGAGCATGGGCGTGGTAAGGAGGTGGATACACGACAAGGTGGACGAAGGACCAGGACGATGACCAGGACAAGGACGAGGTCGAAGGATGAGGATGAGGAGGGGGATGCCGAGGCATGGGGGAGAGGACGAGGCCCAAGGATGACGAGGCGGGGGAGCAGAGGGATGGGGGAGGAGGAGGACGACGAGGGGGAAAGGGTGAGAGTCCACTCCCCCGCCCTGGGAGAGCCCAGCAGGCCCTCCCCTGGCGGCGGCGGCGGCTGGAGCGCCCCCCCCCCCACAGGCAGTGCCAGAAGGCGTCCACGACGGAAAGCCTCGACAACGACGGGGGAAGGGGTGGCACCACGGCCACGACCACGACCACAGGCGCGAGCGCCTTTCTCCGTTCGCTGTTTCTGGTGGCGCTTTTTTTCTCGCGACGTCGGCTCTCAGGGTTAGAGATTTTCCCGTGTTTTCGTTGGTTCTCGGCGGTTTTCCAGCCCAGGGTTGCTCTCCAGCAGCTGTGCCTCGCAGAAGGCGCTCCGGGGGTGCCTGGATTGTCCCGAACGGTCGCTGGAGACCCGAGTTATGACCGCAAACTCAGGGGACGAGGATGGAATGGGGGTCCGCGGGTCGGTCGGCTCGGCCGAGTCGCAGTCGGTCGCGCTCGGTGGGGTTCGGTTCGGTCGGGTGCCGTATCGTTGCCGCGGCGCCGCGCCCTCGTCGGCTGTCTGTGGCCTGTCGGTTTCGGTCGGCTTCGGTCCCCGCTCGCGGTTCGGGCTGTTTTCGACTGCGCTCTCCCCGTGGACAGCCTTGCGTGCGCGCCCTTCTCTGGCTTCCGACCTTCCGAAGACTGCCTGCGCCTTCTCTCGACAACTGCTCCTTGTGATCTCGCGACGAGCTCGGGTCGAGTCCACGCGGAGCGCAGGACGGAGGCGTGTGGGCAGCGGAGGTCTCCAGACGACCCCGCGCCCCAGCCAGTGCCAAGGCAGCTCATCCCGGTGCCAGCGCACGCGAACCCGTGCCGAGGCAAGCCTTCTACCGAGAGCGAGGCCTTCGCGCCGCCGCTGAAGATCTCCCCAAGCCAGATGCGCGGCTCTCAGACGGGGCCGATCTGCGCGGCAGTTTGGGGCTGCGCTGCTGCTGTTGATGGCAAGGGTCGGCTACGCGCACGTCACCGAGCGCGTACCACTACTCGCAAAGTGCCTTGTCGCGAACGCCCGAATAAAAGGCACATGTTTGCCTCGTTTCAGCGGATCGGATCGTGTAAACTCCCCTTCTTGCGGATCCAGGCTATTTGCGAGTAGTTACTTTGCGAGTATTGGAACGCGCGTGTCTAGCACGAGTGACCCTTCGCCAGAGTGACCTTTGGTGTTGGCCTTAGGTTGGGTATGCCCTTCTACAGGTGGACTTTGGACGAACAACTAAGAATACCTTGAAAATACCCTCAAATAGTCAACAAATGCTCAAAAGATCGTCCCCATACTTTTCTGTTATATATATATATATATATATATTTATAGCAACTTTTGAATATTCCTCCTGTAGAAGGACGTGCCCGACGTAATGTTGGCATGGGTTTTCCCGTAGCACCGGGCCGCGCGCTCGGATCTGGCCGCCCCGCGGTCCCCGAGGGCCGCGCCACGGAGGGGTACTCTTGCCCAGGGTGACGCAGGATCACTGCTGTGTGTAGCCTTGAGTTGGGCGTGTCCCTACATGGGGCGAGTCTTCTCTCCCCTCCTCCTCACCGTCTCCTCTGTTTTTATGTTGCAGCCACTTTTCACGAGTTCAGTCCAGCTGCCTGCGGCAAGTTCCGCCACTGTGCCAGCCCAGCAGTCTGGCTTGCGACTGTTCGAGGGGGAACGGGAGGCCGTCAAATGTGACACCTCGTGTCCCGAGGCTTGGGAGAACCGTGGCATGATACATATTCTTCCGCGTCGTGTCGGGGGTTCTCTTTCCGTCTTTGTCGTCTTCCTCGCTTTTGTCCCTTCTGGGGCCCTGTGGGGCAGCCTTGAGGGTCCTTTGGGCCACTTCGGGCCATCTTGGGGCCCTCGTGGACCGTCTTGGGGCACTCTTGAGCCGCCCTGGGGCCCTCTTGGCCGTCCGAGGGGCTTCTGGGGGCTGACTCGGGGCCGTCTGTGGCCGTCGAGGGGCTCTCTAAGGCCGTCTTGGATCCCTCCGGAGGCCCTACTGCGCCAGCTTGCGGCTCTCCAGGGGCCGTCCTGGGCCGTCCAGGGGCCCTTTTGGCCTGTCTTGAAGACGTCTTGGGGAATGACTGGGCAGTTTTGAGGCCCTCCTGGGCCGTCCTGGGGCCATCTTGGAGGCTTTCAGGGCCGTCAGGAGCTGCAGGAAGCCTGTGAAAATGTGGAAACGCCCAAATCTTTGAAACGTCCTCCTCATCGTTCCTCCTCATCCTCCGCCTCCTCCTCTTCCTCTTCTTCCTCCTCCTCTTCCTCCTCCTGCTCTTCCTCCTCCTCCTCCTACTCTTCCTCCTCTTCTTCCTCCTCCTCCTCTTCATCTTCTTCCTCCTGAGCTGCACTGGCGGCGAGGACGACGGGGTGGCGCGAGGAGGGCAGCTTTTCCAGAAGCCTTCTTGGAAGCCCCTGGGCCCTCTTGGGGATGCACCTTCCTTCCAAGAAGACCTCCGTTTCTGAGAGGGCCTCCCCTCCTTCTCCTCCTCCTCCTCCTCCTCCTCTTCCTTCTTTTCCTCCTTCTTCTCCTCCTCCCCCTCCTGCTCCTCCCCCTCCTCCTCCCCTCCTCCCCCTCCTCCTCCTCCTCCCCCCTCCTCCTCCTCTTTTCCTCCTCCTCCTCCTCCTCCTCCTCCTCCTCCTCCTCCCCTTCCTGCTCCTCTTCTTCCAAGAAGACCTCGCGCCACCTCCTTGCTTAGGGCACATGGGGCCAGACCGACAACCGTGGAGTTCCCCAGTGCTGAGTCGGGGGCTCCCTTTCGAGGGGAAGCCCCCAGCAAGCGCAGAACGCCCCCTGGTTGGGACTTTCTCCTTTTTCCGTGTGCGCGTCGCCACTCCGATCCTTCCCCCCTGAGCCGCTCGCTCCGTCCGCCCCTCTTTCGGCCGCGCCCTCCCCCCGCTCCTCCTCTTGCATGGTGGCACAATTCGCTCTAGCCGCAACCCCGTTTAGGCATCCCATCGCCAGCGCAGACGTCCACTGCTTAGCCGCCGACGCAAAGAGTGTGCTCGTCGCCAACTTCGGGCCGGACGAAAGGACTAGGGAAAGGGGGCATGACATTTGTTGCATGCAGCTGGTTTCGGCCCCGCCGTCGGGCGCCTCTCCTCGATGTACTGGCGCCCACCAGTCCGGGAGGAACCAGGAATGTCCAGCCACGTGACCTAGCTCGCTACCCCCCCCTCTCTACACCCCCCCCTCCCTGAGATCCGACCTTGCGAACCAAACGGCAGCAACGTGCGGAATCACGACCAGAGCCCCAGGCCCCACCTTTCCGCGGCACTTCTCGAGCTGGATCGATCCTGCAGGATCTGCGATGGCCCCAGGGCCCGAGCCCGGGCGAGCACGTCCAGTTAAACGCATGCGACGCAAGGATCTCATGGCTTTCGTCACGCCCAGGGCCAGGAACACCTCCTCACGTCAAGGCCGCCGCCGCCGCCTTCTCCTCCTCCTCCTCCTCCTCCTCCATCTGCTCCTCGACGCTCCTCCCCCTCCTCTTCGTCGTCCTCCTCCTGCCGATGGCAGCCTCCTCCCAAGGCCCAGCGCGCGCATCCTCCTCCTCCTCCTCCTCCTCCTCCTCCTCCTCCTCCTCCTCCTCCTCCTCCTCCTCCTCCTCCCCCTCCTCTTCCTCCTCCTCCTCCTCCTCCTCCTCTTCCTCCTCCTGGTTCTCTTCCTCCTCCTCCTACTCCTCGGTGCCGATGGCAGCCTCCTCCTCAGTGCAGATGGCAGCCCGACAGCTGCCGAGGACGGGCTACGTGTGCGCCCAGTTCGACCTAGACCTCACTATGCTCTCTGGCGGCGTCTTCCCCGGCATGTTCAGCGTAGGCGGGAGCCGTTGGAGGATAATCCTGATGATGATGATGATGATGATGATGATGATGATGATGATGCTGATGCTGCTGATGATGATGATGATTATGATGATGTTGATGGTGATGATGATTTTGTTGTTGATGATGATGATACTGATGATGAGGATTATGATGATGATGATGAGTATGAGTATGTTGATGATTAGTATGATGATGCTGATTCTGATGATGATGGTGATGATGATGATGATGATGATGCTGATGCTGATGCTGATGCTGCTGATGATGATTATGATGATGATGATGATGATGATGATGATGCTGATGATGCTGATGATGATGATGCAGATGATGATGATGCTGATGATGATGATGATGATGATGATGATGTTGATAATGATGATGACGATGATACTGATGGTGAGGTTGATGATGACGACGATGCATGATGCTGTTGATGATGATGATGATGGTGGTGGTGATGATGATGATGAGGATGACGATGATGAGGATGATGATGGTGATGATGATGGTGGTTGTGGTGATGATGATACTGCTGAGTCTTCATTTCTAAAGAACGCTCGTTGATGATCCCTCCCCCCAGTGACCAGTGTATTTTTCAATCAGAGTGCTCTTCCCCAGGCTGGCACCCTCTTTTTTACAAGAGAACGCTTGTGGTCTCCAAACTGCCCCCCTTGCCCCCGGTTTACAACAACAGCGGCTCCCGCCGGATACTTCCTCACAATGTCTTCAGAATTCATGCAGGAATCGCGCTCTCGTGTGGTGCTTCTTCACATTGTATTGCGGCGCCGTGTCCCCAAGACACGAATCATGCTCTCGCTTTGGATTTCTTAACTTGGGAATCGCGCTATCGCTCGAAACTTCCTTCATGATGGGTTGACGCTTTCGCGACCCGCTCGCTTGACCTGGCCGTGTGGGCCCGCCCGCCCGACTTGCTCGCTTAGTGTCCGCCCGCTCGACACGCCGGTCTGGTTCTGCCGCTTGTGCTCCTGCTCCTCCTGCAATTTTTTCTCGTACTCCATCCTTCTCCCTCCCCCCTGTCTCTTCACTCCTCCCCTCCTTCCCCTGCTTTAGGGGCTGCGCTAGCAACACGCGGCAGGTAGGAAAGATTATCCCCAAGGGGGATACGATCGAAGACACAGAGGGCGGGTAGCGAGGGTTTGGTTTGGGACATATGTGCTGATTGGCGCGCGAGAAGATAAGAGCGAATAGTCGTAAACTGACTGTTTGTGGTTGTGGTTGTGGTTAGTGTTGTTGTTGTGGTTGTGTTTGTTGATGTAGTTGTGTTTGTTGTTGTTGTTATGTTGATGTTGATGTCATCGTGGTTGTCGTTGCTGTTGCTGCTCTTGTTGTTGTTGTTGTTGTTGATGATTCTGTTGTTGTAATTGCTGCTGCTGCTGCTGCTGCTGTTGTTGTTGTTGTTGTTGTTGTTGTTGTTGTTGTTGTTGTTGTTGTTGTTGTTGTTGTTGTTGTTGAACTTTCATTTCTGAAGAATAACTATTGTTGAGCCCCCCCGTCCGGTGCACCTTTTTTTCTCGATTGAAGTGCCCTTCCCAGGGCTCGCACCCTGTTTTTTATCACGGAAAGTCTTGAGGGTCAAACTGCGTTCTTGGCCCCCTGTTTACAACAACAGCGGCTCCCGCCTGAGACTTCCTCACAATTTATTGAAGAATCGCGCTCTCGCTTGGGACTTCCTTGCAATTTCCCACCGGATCGCGGCTCCCGATTGATACTTCCTCACAATGTATTGAAGAATCGCGCTCTCGCTTGGGACTTCCTGCAACTTACCACCGAAGCGCGGCTCCCGCGCGATACTTCCTCACAATTTATTCAGATGCCACTCCTCGACACTCAGGAATCGCGCTCCCGCTACAGATTGCCTGGCGGTTCAAGCAGAATTTAAGCTTCAACGACCCGCCCGCTCGACCCGCCCGTCTGGGCCTGCCCGACCAGCCCGTTAGGGACTGCAGTCGCCGCTCGCTGCCCTGCGCCCGCCTTCGATGCCCCTCGCTGCCCGTACTGGTTCTGCGGTCGCCTTCGCTCGCTGCCCTTCGTGGCCCCGTTGCTGCCCTCAGTGGCCCCGTCGCTGCCCAGTGTGGCCCCGCATTATATGCCCTTCGTGGCCCCCGCTCGCCGCCCGTCGTGGCCGCATATGCATGCCCTTCGTAGTCCCGCTGTCGCCCTTCGTGGCCCTCTCGCTGCCCTTCGTGGCTCGTGGCCCCTTTGCTGCCCTCAGTGGCCCCGCTGTCGACTTTTGTGGCCCCATATACGAATGCCCTTCGTGGCGCCCGCTCGCTCGTGCCCGTCGTGGCCCCATATGCATGCCCTTCGCGGCCCCGCTGTCGCCCTTTGTGGCCCCCTCGCTGCCCTTCGTGGCTCCGGTGCTGCCCCCTCAGCGGCCCCGTCGCTGCCTCTGTGGCCCCGGATGAAATGCCCTTCGTGGCCCCCGCTCGCTCGCGCCCTTCGTGGCCCCATATGCATGCCCTTCGTCGCCCCGCTGTCGCCCTGCATGGCCCCCTCGCTGCCCTTCGTGGCCCACTTTCTGCGCTCAGTGGCCCCGCTGTCGCCATTTCTGGCCCCATATATGTATGCCCTTCGTGGCGCCCGCTCGCTCGCTCCAGTCGTGGCCCCATATGCATGCCCTTCGTGGCCCTGCTGTCGTCCTTCGTGGCCTCCTTTCGGCCTTTCTTGGTTCCGTTTCTGCCCTCAGCGGCCCCGTCGCTGCCCTCTGCGGCCCCCTATACGCATGCCCTTCGTGGCCCCCGCTCGTTCGCGCCCGTCGTGGCCCCATGTGCATGCCCTTCGTGGCCCCATTGCTGCCCTTCGTCGCTCTGCTTGCCATCTGTGGCCCCCGCGAGACCTTCGTGGCCCCTTTGCTGCCCTCTGTGGCCCCGCTGTCGCCCTTGTTCGCCCCATATATATATATGCCCTTCGTGGCCGCCGCTCGCGTCCTTCGTGGTGCCTTCGCTGCCCTTCGTGGTTCTGTTGTCGCCGTTTGCGGCCCCCTCGTTGCCCTTCGTGGCCTCGTTTCTGCCCTCAGTGGCCCCGTCGCTGCCCTCTGTATACGTATGCCCTTCGTGGCCCCCGCTCGCTCGCGCCCTTCGTGGCCCCAGTGCTGCCCTCAGTGGCCCCGCTGTCGCCCTTCGTGGTCCCTTCGCTGCCCTTCGTGGCCCCGTTGCTGCCCTCAGTGGCGCGCGTGTTCCACAAGACTGCAGTGGCGCTTCGCGCCATGCACCTTGGTCCTTGAAGTTTGGTTTGCAGGCGGAATAGCAGGAAGATCAAGCCGACAGTTTAGCGATAACTCCTTGTTGCCTTTTCCGGCATGGCCGCTATGATGATGATATTCGTTATCCTTTCTCCATGTTTATTTTTCTTCATGTTTGCCATACCCTGCGCATTCCCCCTATCGTCCTCAGCTTTTTTTTGCGGAGGCTCCTCCTGGGAGAGCCTCTGGGGGCCAAAAACAAATTGTCTCAGGCTTTCTTAAGGCCTTCTGGAGGCCTCCTGGGCGTATTCTGGGGGCCTCTGGGGGCTTCCTCGGGCCACCCTGCCTCCAACCACGGTCTCCCTGAACGACCGGGTCACGATTTGGAATGCTTCGGAGGGTGTCTTGGGGCCATCTTGGGCCGCCATGGGGCCCTCTGAAGGCCATCTTGGACCCGTGTTGTGCCGTTTTGGGGCTCTCTTGGACTGCCTGGAAGCCCTTTCGGATGGTTGTGGGGCGATTTTGGATCCTCCCAGGTGGCTTCGGACGCCCAGAAGACCTCCGTCTTGGAGCGTCGGGAAGCCGAAAAGAGGAGAACCCCCAAATTCAGCAAACATTGCCAGAAAATCCATGACTTTTGCCTCTTGGGAGTGCTCTTGGAGGCCTCTTTGGGGCCGTCCTGGAGGCCTCTTGGGCCATCTGGAGGTCACGTCGGTCACTCTCGGAGCGCTCTTGCGCTGCCATGGGGGTTTCTGAGACGTCTCCGATGTCCCCCCTGATCGCCCTAGGTGTGCTGGGAAGGCTTGGCAAAACGCCCTGCGAGGCCAGGGGGGCCGCTTCGAGGCCCGTCCGGAGGGTCCCAAAGCCCCTGATCCCGGGAGTCCGGTTTTGGGGGGGGGGGAGGGTGACGGGTTTTCCCCTCGCCCGGGCTTATAAAAATATAGGAAGAGGAATATGCCCTTCGTGGCCGCCGCTCGCGTCCTTCGTGGTCCCTTCGCTGCCCTTCGTGGTTCTGTTGTCGCCATTTGCGGCCCCCTCGTTGCCCTTCGTGGCCTCGTTTCTGTCCTCAGTGGCCCCGTCGCTGCCCTCTGTATACGTATGCCCTTCGTGGCCCCCGCTCGCTCGCGCCCTTCGTGGCCCCAGTGCTGCCCTCAGTGGCCCCGCTGTCGCCCTTCGTGGTCCCTTCGCTGCCCTTCGTGGCCCCGTTGCTGCCCTCAGTGGCCCCCTCGCTGCCCCTCGTACTCCACTTGAGACGCGCGTGTTCCACTGGCCCAGGGTCTTCTGCAGGCTTCGAATGAAGGCCTGCGTCGACGAGGCCCCCGGGGCGTTCCCGCAGGTTTTCGGAGCCTCTGGAACTGCTCGGTGGTCATCGGGGCCATTCCGAGGCCCCCCACAGGTCATATGAGGCTTTCGGGTGCCTTCCAATCCCCCCGCGCCTTGTTTCCGCACCAGTCTCCGCTCGTATCCACCGGCCCCCAGTTTTCAACGTTCCTGCCCAATCTTGTCTACTCTTTCCCTTTATCTTCATTTTCATTTCGTTCGTACTCCATTGTGCTATTCCTCAGTTCTTCGCGCCTCGCCCACTCCTCCCCAGGCCGCCCCACCCCGCCCCGACAATCTCCACCCCTTCCCGCTCGCGTTCCGGATTTCTCCCACAGTGTTCCGAGCCCCTCCTCCAGATTCCTCCGTGCGCGCCCCGCTCCCCCGCGCCCCTCCCAGCCCCTCTTCTCACCCCTTGCCGCTCATCCCAATCCACTCCACGTCCCTGCGCCCCTCTCGACGCGGTTGCAGTTCTTGCTATCCTTCCGCCCCGCTCTCCCAACATCCCGCTTCTTCTTAGGGTTCCTCGAAATTTGTTTCCGACGCCAGTTCGCAGCTGTGCGCCCCCCCGTGGGGTATCCACGATATGTTCTTTCAAGACGGTTGTGCGTGGCGCTGTTTATGGCGCGACCCATGGCGAAACTTATTGTTAACCTGTGTTGGAGTGGCTGGCGAAAGCCATGGTGCAAGGTGAATCGCCACCCACACCGCAAATCATCGTTCTCCTTCCTTCTTGCCCGTCCCTTCCCTTCCTCCGATCCCTTCGTCCTCATTCTCCCCCGTTATGTGTTTCCCTTCGCTTTCAAGGGCTTCACCAACCACGCGTGGCTGGGGGCGAATATACCCCCCAAAAGGGGAAGCGATCGAAGACGAGGAGGGCGGATATTCAGGGTTTGGGATATGCGTATTGAATGACGCGCGAGCAGATCGGAACGAACAGTCTTAACGTGATTGTTTTTGCTGTTGTTGTTCTTGTTGTTGTTGTTGTTGTTGTTGTTGTTGTTGTTGTTGTTGTTGTTGTTTTTGTTTTTGTTGTTGTTGTTGAACTTTCATTCTTGAAGAATAATTATTGTTGATCCCCCCCCACCGGTGCGCATTGATTTTTTCGATTGAAGTGCCACCCCCGGGGCTCGCACCTTGTTTTTTCTCAAGGAAAGTCTTCCCGCTCAAACTGTGCCCCTGCCCCCCGGGCTACAACAACAACGGCTCCCGCCTGAGACTTCCTCGATTTTTACTCAGGACCCCCGCTCCCGCCTGAGACTTCCGCGCAGTTTACTCAGGAAAGGCGCTCCCGTCTGAGACTTCCTCGCAATGTAATCAAGACACCCGCTCCCGCCTGAGACTTCCGTGCGATTTACGTGGGAACGGCGCTCCCGCTTGAGACTTCTTCGAATTTTACTAAGGACCCCCGCTCCTGCTTGACATTTCCGCGCAATTGACTCAGGAACGGCGCTCCCGCCTGAGACTTCCTCGCAATTTAGTGAAGACCCCCGCTCCCGCCTGAGACTTCCGTGCGATTTGTTCAGGAACGGCGCTCCCGCTTGAGACTTCCTCGCAACTTACTCAGGGCCCCCGCTACCGCCGGAGATTTCCTCACAATGTACTTAGGACTGCGCTCTCGCGTGCGACGCCCCCGCAAATTATTCTGGAATTGCGTTTCGGCGCTCAGGAACCACGCACGCGCCAAGGACGCCTTCACAACGTGGTATCTTCCCTCTTCCTTCGTCCTTCCCCCTCCCCTTCCTCCCACTCTCCCTCGTTCTTCCCCTCCTCCTCTTGCAAGGCCCGCGCCAATTCCAATGGCGGGCAGAGAGATGTACGCCCCCGAAGGATTGTCCGCCCGTTCCGGTTTGCCCGTACGTCTAAGCCCGCCCGCCCCAGCAAAGAGAAATAATCCCCCCGAAAGGGGTGTGATCGAAGACGAAGAGGGCGGGTTTCGAGGGTGTAGGGTACACGTGTTGAATGACTCGCGGGCAAGTAAGAGCGTACAGCCTTAAAATGGTTGTTGTTGTTATTGTTATTGTTGTTGTTGTTGTTGTTGTTGTTGTTGTTGTGTTTGTTGTTGTTCTTGCGTTGCTGCTATTGCTGTTGTTGCTGTTTCTGTACCTGTCGCTGTCGCTGTTGTTATGGTCGTGATTGTGGTGGTTGGTTTGAGTTTTTATTTCAAAAGAAAAATAAAGACTACGGTTGATCCCCCTCCTGTAACCATTGTTTTTCAATGAAAATTCTTCTCCCCAGGCTCGCGCCTTTTTTATAAGGGAACATGGGGGGGCACCAAACTGCGTGGTCGGGCCCCGGACTATAACATCAACGACTCCCGCCTGGTACTCCCTCGCAATTTATTCCAAGGTCGCGCTCTCGCGCGGGACTTCCTCGCACTTTGTAGAGGAATCGCGTTCTCGCGTGGGGTTTCTTCGCAATTAATTCAGACGCCGCGCCCTCGACAACGCACTCGCTGTGGATTCCCTCGTGATTTATTTGGAATCGCGCTATCGCTCGACAAGTCTTCGCGATTCATACAGGACGCATGCTACAGCAACCCGCCTGCCCCTTGTCCCTTCCTTCCGTCCGTCCTTTCTTCCCCTGCCTTAAGGGCTGCGCGACATACGCGTAGCAGGTAAGGAAAATATACCCCGAACGGGGTACGGTCGAAGACGAAGAGGGCGGGTATCGAGGGTTTGGGATAGACGTGTTGAA